AGAAGTATTTCACTCGGTGTGCGTTATTCTGAGAATGATTTCTTTTTCGCGATACGTAACGTTTCGAGAAAATGATTTCGAGGAAAGTCGACCGGATACTTTGCGAATAAATTTTTAATCGTTTAATCAAAAATTAGAATTTTTTGTTTGGAGGAAATTTAAGCTCCTTAACATTTTCTCATCCGCGTAAGAAATATCTCGCGAATAAATCTTCACTTTGCCTCGCGTGAGGGTAATACACGCGAAAGGGTCAAAATTAGATTACTTGACAATTTGAAAATTACTTGAAAAGTAAAAATTCTCGTCCGCGAGACGAGCGATCGACAGGGTTCACTGATTGATCGATCCCTCTTCTGATTGCAGCGTGCAGCTTGCGAAGAAATCGAAATGGTGGAGCTGTGCGGAAGTGGACAACCGACATCAGCGATGGGAGTGATGGGGATCGGTTCGGTGGTGTCCGCGGCGACGTCGTCATCGTCCTCGTCGACGACGACCACCGCGGCGTCGTCGACGGTGTCTGGCCGCGCCGGTGTCCTCGAAACGCAGGTTCGCGGTCAGTGGTATCGCGTGTTCGTCTCATTAGAGGACGATTATCTGAGTATCTCGTTGGACGAGAGCTGCGAGACCGGTAACAACGCATTGAACAACGGCAACATTAACAACAACAACGTGGATAGTCTGAATGATCCAGACGTGCCGGATTCGGTGGCGAATCAGAAACGCATTGTGCGCGTTGTGAAAAGCGACAACAACGGCCTCGGTATCTCGATCAAAGGCGGCAAAGAGAATAAAATGCCGATTTTGATCTCGAAGATTTTCAAGGGGATGGCGGCCGATGCCACTGAACAGCTATACGTGGGCGACGCGATACTGGCTGTGAACGGGGAGGATCTACGCGAGGCTACACACGACGAGGCGGTGAAGGCGCTCAAGAGGGCTGGCAAGGTTGTCGAGCTCGAAGGTGAGTGAATTATTCCATGTTTCTTCTTTCGCTTCCTTTTTCTCGTGTCTCGAACGAAACGAGGTCGATCGAACTGGCACTGTAAAGCGGCCTGCACACGAATAATAGTTTCGTGCAATCGTAACATACGAAAATATGAAAAATATACGACGATAATGTTTTCGAGGAGAAGTATGAGAGTTGTAGAGTTGTATCTCCTCGTGCATGTTACTCGCAAGACTATTCTCTATTTCTCCGCGTATCTAGAGACGATCATCTTCGAGGCCCTCTCTTACGGACACGTTCGAGTCGTTTAAAGGTGAAAAGTCATTCCGCCGTCATGAACGTAAGTCGATAATAATCGAGGAAGGCGATTAGAGCGATTGGTCTCGCGACCAGAGTTGGGTAACGCGCCAGCAGGAAGACGGCAAATTTCTAAATGTCACGTAACGGGTTTCTCCCGTGTCCAAACCTCTCCTCGCGTATAATCTTCCGCAAAAGTATTCCACGCTGAAACGTTCCGTTTAACCTACCTTCTTTTGAATAACGTAACCACGTCTGAAACGTCGAATTCGACAGACGAATTAATCCTGCAACATCGACATCCTCTCTCCCTCTCTCTCCTGCTATGCAACGTCTCCTTTGAACGCTAATTCGCGGATAATTAATAGCCAGGCCACGTTAGCGAAATCAGGGTTACGCGAGTAACCCGGCAAAAGGAGGTAGGAGGGGAAGAGGAATCCCGCTCGAACGTGGAAACGTGAAGCGTAAACGTAAACGCAGATTCGTTTAGTCGGTTGAACCGGCGAAACGCTTCGACCGGAAGCAGGAAGTAGCTAGGCTAGGCGAGCCTCGACGTAGGCAGACGGGGCTAGAGAGGACATTAACGAGGTTTTCGCTCCAATTAGCCACCGAGTACACGGCGCATTAAGTTTCGACGCTGGGATTACTGGCAGTTCTCCTGGCTAGGTCGTTTTAATATCGAATTCCAGCGTCTTTGAGCTGGAACTAGCGCCGTTTATACGTCTATATGGTAACCCCAGCTGTATACCTTTCGAACTGGCCAACGACGATCTCTTCGTTTCCGCCGGAACTAACGTGAAATTTGTAAAAGTGAAAATGAGAGAGAGAGAGAGAGAGGGAAGTAAGAGGGGACAGTGGTTAGGGTGTATGAGAAAAGAGAGCTTTTAGCTGGATTAATCCAAGATTTTCGAAGGGTGTGTTTCTTTTTCGGGGTTCTTCGAGGTCGAGACACGATTCCTCGTGGCTTCCTTCTCGCTCTTGTGTCACGTAGAAAGAACGGAAACCAGTGACTTTGCAGTTTCAGTGCGAATTGCCGTACACGCGGGCTCCGCATCGTACACGCCGCCTCCAGACGTGCTATTATCAAAAAGTGTGAGGCTGAAAGAAGCGACGCGGGGTGAAAGGTCGGCGAGAAAACGTGTACACGCGCCGCCTGGAGCGTTAAATGGCGCCTCTCTCTCTCTTTCTCCTTTTTTCTTTTCTCTCTTTCTCTCTCTCTCTCTTCTACCACGGTGCGTTTTTCTCCGCCGCCTCTTTTCTTTCCACGCTTTTATTTTACCTCCTTTGTGACTGGTTATCGTTTGTTTCTCGTACGAATCTCCTACGAGAACGACACAAGCCTGGCCAGTGAAGCGCGACGTTTATTCTCTCTCTCACTCTTTCTCTCGTTCCACATGCCCGTGTCCGCCTGCACTTTGCATTTAACGTTCTCCAGCCGATGCGCGACACGTGTATGTGTATGTACGCCACTGTGTATGTACACTAGCTCGCCAGGTTCCCGTGATACAGGTGTTAGATGCGGTATATGCGTTCCACTATCTGTGTGTACGTATAGATAGGTTAGGTTCTGTATGTGGAAAGAGAGAGAGGGAGAGGGTGGAACGTTGCACTGCTCCGGGGCTTTCAGGCTTGCAGCTCTGGCTCGCGCGCGATTGTATGCACGCGAACGCACCTGCACCGTTATTTTCCTCCGTGTTCTGAAAAGCCCGGTCCAGGCCAAAAATTCGCCCGGAGAACGGTCGTTATTGAGCCATTTCGGGTCCCGTACGTTTACCGAAATCCGTTCCCGGACCGATGAAACTCGCCGCCCGTGAATGACCGGCCTCGACAGCTCGTTGCGCTTCGTATAATCGCGTGCGGTTTTCACACAGAGAATGCCTCGTTCCGATTCACCCTCTGCACAGCCATCCCTTTTCACGCTCTATTCCGTCACTCTCTTTCTCTCTCTCTCTCTTTCTTGCTTTCGAGTAGTCTTGTAGAGATTAGAGAACATTTCGCTGGAATTAGAGAAGAATTTATGGTCGGAGATACTTTCAGTAGGATACGTCCTCTAATTCTACATTATTAATTTTCGTAACAATGGGTCTTTTTAGCAATTTCTCTGGGAATCTTTTGATAATCTTAGAAATTAAGGATGATGGACAAAGGGATTAGTATCTTCAGAAATAAGACGCGAAACAACTGTCTAACACGTGAACAATACGAAATTTCCAACCACTTCTGAGGATTCCACTTACAATGCTACCCAACCATCGCTGCCAGTTTCCAAAATGTCATACTTACACTGAACAACCTAAGCAACATCTCACCCCGTAAAATCCTCGACTATCTCGATCAAAGAAGCTAGCAAACGCGACTCCGGTAGATTTCGTGGTACCCACGGGCCATGTTCGAACGACGAAATCTCCAGACGACGTATGGTGCCAGTAAAAAGGGCCACGGTGTACATACATCCCGGCTTCTTCTTCCTTTCGCTTGGTTTTGCTCGGCGACATCCTCTCCCGACAGCTTTTCTTTTATTCAGACGCTTTCGGCCGTCTGTCGTACGATTTCTCGCGGCACGTAGGTATCCGACGCGGCGCGTCGCACGTGCGACGTCCTTCGTCGTTCCTCTTCTTCGTTCGCTGGTCGGCTGGCTGCCAGTTTTACGTGGGTGATGCGTGGAATGCGATACTCTGCACTTTACGTCCACCAGGAGGTGAGATGCAAAGCTGTGCAACACGCGTGTGCTTCTATGTGGGTGTCCAGACGAGGGAGAGACGGGGAGAGACAGGGAGAGACGGGAAGGCGACTGTGGAGCGAGTCAACGAGGAGAGGAAACAAAGATGAAGAAGGATAGAGATAGAGAGTAGATTACTGGTTGACCCAGCGGAAGATTGACTGGAGGATACGAGCAAAGACGAAGAGGATGATGGAGGAGGCAGAGGGAGAGCCTAGGAATACATTACCCTAGAATTTTCATCGAGACTCGACTGCTAGCGAGGACCGCCGACCTCTGGCAAGCCCGTTTAAGAGAGATTCCGACGAAAACTTCCGGTTCCACGGGATAAAATTGCGAGGAAGTCGCGGAGACCCTCCACTGTCAGCCTGACAAAGTTTCCAGAAAGGGCTTCGACGAATCGAATAGAAGTTACTCCCGGACCCTGATAAACCAAGTCGAATTTATTGCTCCGCCGCTTTCGAGATTTACCCTGATTTATTGTATCGGCCTGCTTAGTCCTCTTTTTCGTGTTTTTTTTCTTTCCTCCTGGTTTCTTTCCCCCTTCTTCGTATTTCTTCTCATGGCGTGTATGAACGGCCCTCTTCGCCACGGAGAACGATTGTTTCGGGCAAGATTGATTCGGCTGTGCTGTCCCTGCGTTATTTCGCGAAGAACGTTTGAGATGCAAGTTTCTTTTAATTGCTGTACGTGCAAGCTGAAACTATTTTTTTCTGCTTTTCGTGTTAAAGATTTAAAAGGTGTTACGTCCTTAAACCATACAGACTTCCCTAAGATAATTTAGATGTCATTCTTTACCGCGTCGGACTAAGAAAGTTCACACCAGCTCGAAAGTTGAAAATGAAAAAAAAAAGCTGCGACAACAAAATATCGACTTTCGACGCGTAAAAGCTGAAGGGTTAAATGTGAAACTAATTGGGACAAAATATCGCGTGTGTCCTGTACCGTAAACGTGTAATTATTCAATTATTCCGCGAGTTTCATAAATGAATAATAAATATCGCTCTGGTGAACCGTAATTCAATTTGAGCTTCGCTGGAACACCGAATACAGGGGTGGTAATGATATTCATCAAGGAAGGGGTTGAAAAATTCGCGGCGCGAACTGCTTCCTCCGCTCGATATCAGACTTCGCGTGACTTTTCTTCACGGTTATCTATTCGAACCGGGCCAATCTACACGTCGGATCTGCGGAATTCCGTCGGTGAAATATCGCGTGGCCTTGATTATGGATCTCCCTGTAGTAGTTGCTTTCGTACGGACACGCGTTACCTATTCCCCATCCATCCACGCAATCGTTGAGCAATCATTCCTACCGGACTATACTTATATTACCGGATTAGGTTGCCCTAGCCGATTCTTGTACGTACGCCCACGATTTACGTAAGAATATATACCTGTTAATACGAATCCACGAGGAAGGTGATATACCTGTCGTTATTGCGTGATCTCTCCCTCGAGTTTTGCCGACCTTTGCCGCTCATTGGCAGCCTTCGAACAATGCCGCTCTGTTGTGAAATAATTGCGTTCATTGTTAGTCGAAGAACGGGTATAAAAGTGTCGAGGACATAAAAGGAATCTGTTGGAAACGTTGTTGCGAAGTTTTTTCTTAAGTAGGAATAGTGGAAATATTCCGCTACCTCTGGGGAGGTGCATTGAAAACGTGAACGGTGTTTTTTATTCGAAAGTTTGTACGTAAAAAATATGAGTTATGTAGGAATTAAAGGAGAGAATTTTTATATTTCTAACAATTCTAACCGTTTAAAAAATTCAATTTTGCGAATGAAATTGATTGTAGCGAGAGATCTAGTATTCTCTTCCATCCTCTTCCACGAAATTCGAACGAATTTCCACGGATTACCAAAGAAGACCTCCTATAACCTTATCAGAGACTCTTTTCTCAAATTAAAAAAAACCTGATCTAATTTCTCAGGTAGCTATATATTTTCACGAGATTTTCTATCACGATGTATAAAAATTTTCGAAAGAACCGAACGTAATATGTGTC